TTTTTTGTTCCGTTTTTAAATCGCAACCAGTCTGGTTTTTCGCATGGTCGAAGCCGAAGAAGAGTACGTGAGCCAGCTAGAGGTGTTGGTCACGTGTTTCTTACGCCCTTTGCGGATGGCGGCCAGCTCGAAAAAGCCGCCGTGCACTCACGAAGACATAAGTTCAATTTTCCTGAACAGTGAGACAGTGCTGTTTCTGCACCAGATATTCTACAAGGGACTAACGACTAGAATGGAAAATTGGCCCACTCTAATTCTAAGTGAGTATAATTATTATTATACATCGATTTGGGTTACGACCGAAAAATCTCGGATAGCCGGTCATGAGTGTTTGGCGATAATTTGGTTATAAGAATTTAGTACAAACAAATTGTAGAAAGCGAAATTGAATTGAGTTCTGAAACCGTACACAGTAACTATTAGTGTGGTCTGTATCACGTAGTACGTGACGACCATTACGGCTGACGATCACAACAACGTTTGCTCGACATGTAGGTAGCTAGTTTAATTATTTTTACCAGGGCACGTATGTTTTAAAACACACACAGCGCAGAGTCACAGAATGAAATTAAAACTGTCAGTTCAAATAGTTTGATTGACCCCCCATCACTTCAAATGACTGAAAATGGTCTCAACTAATTATCTGTTAAAAATAATTTAATGACATCCCAGTGTTTAATTATATTATGGCAAAAAGACTCAAAAGTACCTATTATATCCTATTATATTCGCATACACCCAGATCCCACCAACCAAATTTTAACCCAAGTTCGATTGAACTACTTGAAGTACGGTTTTGGGCGTTGCCGATACACTGAATACAATCGATACCGTTATATATTATAATTGTTACTATTAGTAATTTAACTATAGATTTTTCATAGTGAATATTTTATATTATTATATTATATACTAAGGAACCAGTGGCCTGTGGAAAATTTGAAGAGGCTATGGTTTAGTATTTAATATACCCTGCACTCTGCAGCACCGCCAATTGCACGATAAAGGCATTAACTGTGATATTATTACTGTAACTAACTTTCGTCATAGTTATTAGTWATACGATTGAAATGTAAAACGGATAGGTAACCTACTTAGTGTAATTAGAACTAAGTTCATTATAATCATACTAAATTATCAACTATTGGCCATTACACTCAACCGCTACCATTAAAAATCTCAGAGATGGCCGTCTCTTGATTATCCTTTTCGCTACGCCACAGTKTGCACCGTTTACGGTAATATTATCTATTACGAWGATGACTATGATGATGGCCTCGAAGGGAGTGGGTCACTAAGGATAATGATTTATTATGGGTTGTGTGTTATCGATAATGTCGCGTGTACATATACCGATTTCCTTGTACCCGAACACCATCAACTAATAAGTTACCATATATTATTAGTGGCCTACGCGCGTTTTTGTATCTATACTGAAGTGGTGTTCTCGGCATTCTTCAATTACTCTAACACGCCTCCAGTAACATCGGTCTCTCGTTTCACGAAAACAATAGCCATCTCGTAATGTTTTTTTYCCGTTCCATCTTGATATTAATTTTTTCCTCTTAGATTGAAAAAATATATATAGTAGGACTTTCGCACGGCATCAAGTGCCAGTCACCATAGAAACAAACGCCCTTACCGTATTCGCTTTGGTCTCCTGCAGTAATCACAAGGAACTTTTCCGCACAAAACTTTACTCGGCCAAAATAAATTTGGCAAACGTATTACTTCTATCTCTCTCCGGCCCAYCATCTCTTCCTCTTGTTTTCATTTATTTTCACTACARCTCTATTTTCACGTTCTCTAACGCAATAATAATGTTTTATACTCGCTTCTAATACTGCCAGAATCAACCGACATAATATTATATTATAAGGTCGCCTGTGCGTGTGAGTGGAATTCTACATTTAATTTATTGATTTGTTGGACATTCCCTAAACCCGTAATATTATAAAATTAAAGATAGTCCGTGGCATAGACGTTTCGAAACTTTGAGAACTAAATTATACGGTACGGTCGATTCTCGGTATAACTGTATATTATGATCTTATTTCGACTGCAGTTAAAATTCGTTTCGATTCCCGCGAGCTTTGAGTTCATATACATACTTAGGAACCGAAGGTTGAATGCGGTATTTTATTATGTCGGTCTTAATTCTTAACTACGAAAAACGAGTGATTTTTTTTCATGTTGTTTTCAGGTGATCTCTTCGATATACTACTACCCATGCTGACAATCTACCAGGAATATGTGAGAAATCATCATTACAGTTTACAAGTGTTGACCGAATGCAAACAAAACCCTGCATTTGTTAACCTTTTGGAACGATTGGAAAACAAACCAGCATGTCATGCACGGTCATTGGAAAACTTCTTAATAGTGCCAATGCATCAGGTGAAACTTWAAATTGATGAAAAATAATAGTAATATTTTAATTTACTTTAAGTATGAACTTCACGATAAAAYCTTGGTTTATAGAGTTTTGGAAAAGTCAACGGTAAAATCTATGACACCATAATATTAATTATTTTATAATTTATATAGTCAAATATCTTATATATCAGGGATGGGCAATTGGCGGCCCGCGGGCCGCATGCGGCCCGCGTACCTTTTTTATCTGGCCCGCGCTACAGAAATAGAAGTGGATTTTACTAAATTGTCTATTGAAAAACCT